ACATTTAAAACCACCTGGCGCTGCATTGGGTGCATTTGCATACATGGTGAAATGCTTATCAGTGCTGAGAAAATGGCAGTGATGTGCTTTTGAACTAAAATACATTGAAGGTATAATTTTTTTACAATTCAATAGAATAATAACTGTTCATAGGATAAGTCTTATTCCCCGAATCATTTTTTTCTGAACTGCATGATGGAACCAATTGAACAAAAGGAGAATTTTTATAGATTGATTTCTGTTTCTGATCAATCACAGTTTTCTGGTCAAAGGATAGAATGGTTTGAGAGATCTGCTGGGTTTGTATACATTTCTTTACCTCTTTTATTGCTTCCCTGCATTGTGTGTCAAGTTGTGAGGTACTGAAAATTATGCAGAGCTAGTGTGCTTTTGGGTGTGTTAAATAGACAGTCTCCCCTCCATAAATGGTAGGTGTGATTGCTGCATGGAGTGGCTTGCAAAGGTAAGAGCAGGGAGAACACAAGCACACAAGCAAGCAAGTCCCTGGTAGGCTTGTAGAGAGGCTGAAGCGTGGGTTGCTCTCTATTCCCTACTACAGATATCTATCACATACCAGATTAGCACCAGAACAGGTCTGCCTCCCTGTGCTGCAATGACATTTTTGGGTTTCTACGTAGACTTATCCAATGAGGAGACTGTTTGGAATACTTTGTTCTAACCCTCGTTCAGGGCAATGGGGATTCTGTATATTTGGTAAACAAATTGGACCATAAGGTTACCCTGACTGCACATCACTGATTTCTCATTCCACTGGAAAGTGTTTGCATGCCCCCAAATGTTGGTTACCGCCTGGTCAACTAGGCCCTAATGTTAACTTTTTTTTTAATTATTAACCAAATAGCTCACAATTTCACTTATGAATCTGAATATCCATTGAGAAATGTGACAGAGACAGGAGTGTAGTAATTGAATGGCCAGAGAATGGGGGCACTCAATAATGCAGAGATACTGCTACTGAACGCAATGCAGGTATGATGGACCTTCTACAAAGGCACCAATGCAGGGTAGCAGCTTCTCAGACCTTGGTACGCCAGTCAACGGCCCATGAGCTGGAGTCAGGGAACCGAGAGTAAGCCACGGATCTCAAGGCTGACAGGGTTCTAAGCAACTATTGCAAGGTATGGCCCATGCAAGCAGCTCTGACTAGTGGGAGAATATTGTATTGTCAACTTGGGGTGATCAACAGTTGGAACACATTTGTGCACAGAGTCTTGCTGCTGTCGCTGCACATTGAGTGCCAGGACATTGTCATGTGTCACCCCATCACACCAGAAAAGAGGATGGCCATGGCCATCAAGAAACTGGCCACCCCCCCAGCCTCTGCTTCATCAGGAACCAGTTTGGCATGGCTCCCTGCATGGCTGGGTGGCAATGCCACCCGCTGCAGGACATCATGGCAAACAGCTTCATCTGCCTTCATAACCCCGGGTAAGTTGTTGAAGGCTTCAAGGCAATGTGGTTCCCTAACGGCATGGGTGTATTGGACAGCACACACATCCTGGTCCTATCCCCATCCTAGGGGAGCTGGTTATTCACCAACAGGAAGGGATTTGCCTCAGTGATCCTTCAGGCTGTAGTTGATCACCGAGGATGATTTAAAAATATTTATACAGTCTGGGCAAGCAGCACACATAATGTGTGTGTCTTTTGAAACTTGCCACTGCCTGGCATGATGGAGAAAGGACAATAAGTGCCCAGGGTCCCCGATGCAGTGATCCAGAGTGTTGCTGTGCCCCTGCTTATCATAGCAGATGTGGATTACCCTCTCCTGCCCTGGCTCATGCATGAAGCCATATGAAGGACAAGTTACTGACTGGCAAAAAATGGTATTCAACTACTACCTCAGCAAATACCAGATGGCTGTTGAATGAGTCTTTGGCCACTTGAAAGCATGGTGGAAGTCACTGAACTACAGACTCAAGGTGGAGCCAAAAAACATTACGGAGTTCATTGTGGCAGCCTGCATGCTCCACAGTATTTGCGAGACCAGGGGTGAGGTATTCAGTGAGTCCTGGTCTGAGGAAGTGAGGGAGGCAGTGGCCAGACAGAGATATAGGCAGGCAGGGCATGGTGCCCCCTAAGATAAGCATGCAAATGCTGGTTAGGGAGCCATTGTGTGGAATTGCCTGGCCGCACACATTCTTGTTGCTGCAGATGGAGAGGGTGCTCTGTAGGCCACCAATTGATCAGTGCTGAATGCTAAACTATTCAGCAGTTACCATCAGTGTGTCAATAAATAAAATTTAAAATGTCATTGCAACACTTATATCTTATGTCTTATGTCTGTCTCGTAAGTACATTGTCTCAGGGCAGGCTGCACTGATGGTGGGGGAGGCATGGGGGAGATGGAGAGGACTAAAGTCGACAGGCTTTCCTTTGCTTTGTGTGTATGGGGAATGAAATGTGGCATGGACATTAAAATGCATTACCTACTGCTGCTCACATTTTAATGCAACACCCAATAGTTCACAAAGAAATAAGAAATTCCTGGGGTTCTGATTTGTGTGCATATTATAAGCACTTGGAGAATTTCAGTGCCCTGTTCGAAGAGAGGGAAGTGATAATGAAGCAGCTCTCTGGTCCTGTCTCCCATCGGGGAGTGGGTGCAGGTTATATCCAGTCAGAAGGCCAGTGTTTCCTGTTAGCCTGGGGCGGGGGGGAGCTTGGATGTTTGATATGTGGATTTGAATTTGGGGGCAGAGTGGAGGCTGAGACACCGTCCAAGGACGGTGAGGGGCTTGAGGGGCTATAAGAACAGAGACCTGAACAGAGATGTAGTGAACAGTTTCTGGGGAGGGAAGGGAAACATTGAATGAAACAATGGTGCCCAAAAGTGCAAGAATGTGGGTGCAGAAGTGGGGGGGTTCCAGGTGTCTTCCAGGATTGGGACCCCGGGTGAGGTAATGCAGGGAGCAAATTATTGGAGTTCCAATTAGTGCACCACAGCACTCCAATATTTGCGTGAAGATATATATAAGTAACTCATGAGGTGCAGATTCGTGCGCATATTATATAGCGCTCAGAGAATTTTAGTGTCCCGTTCGTAGGGGTGGTTGTTTGATTGAAATAAAGAAAAAACAAGTGGATTTACACATGAAATAATGTTTTCTTGATGACATAGAAATAGGAAAATAAAAAATAAGGTAAGAATAAAAATAAAGACAGGAATGAAAAGAATATGAATAAAATAATAGCATTTAAAAATATTGGTGTAAAAACAAGTCAAAACATTTTTAAAAATGTGTATAAAAATGAATGAAATTAATGAAATGACAATTAAATTAATGAAATCGGACCACTTTTGGTCATCTGTACATATCAGTGAGTGGTGAGCTACAGACATTGCTAATCTGTGGGGATTAGCAGCATGTGGCGCCCCCTGCTATAATTTAGTATGAAGAGATCAGTGGGGTGGATTATGTGGCGCCCTCTGCAGTAAATTACTGTGAATAGTGCACTGAGTATTCCCTGAGACTTAAGATCGATGGCGTGTAACCAGCGACTGAAAAATAAAACCCACCTTTTCAATTTAGAGCACAGAATGCAACCCTGAAGGACTAAACCCCAGTCGCGTGTACATGCATCCAAAGCATCTGCTGTTACTATAGCTAACATCATCTGTTAGTACTAAGGCAGGGCCTCACAGGTATGTGAGGAGCACTGCTGTAGGCCCCCTCTCACTCTTTGGGTGAGCCATGAAAGGAAGGCTGAGCCTGCAGTGTGACCCTAATATCCCCCTAGGAGTTTTGCTACTGCCAGTGATGATATACGGTTGTTGCTCAAGTATATTGATGGGCAGCGGTGTAAAACTAACGTAGAGGAAAGACATCCCATGGCACCTTAAGCAAAAATAGAATGTAGACATTTCCATTTTACCTCAAGAAATATTTGACTAAAAAGCAAGCCTGGAGTGTAGCCATTTCACCTTGCTTTTTGAATGCCTCATATTTCACAAGTGTAAAATAAGCTTAGTTCCATGGCACTATTGAAGAGCACTATTCTCATTCTGCTGTCAGATACGTGCAGTCTTCAACATAGCTGCAATAACTTTAATGGCATTCTGGGGGAGAGCAAAGACCCCCATGTGCAATGTTGCTGCTTAGTTATTTTAGTCTGTTTAGTTCTGGAGATGCTTGTTGTTGAGAAATGAAGGAGAAAGACAGGTAATCTGAAAAAATATTTATTCTATGACACCATATCAATCACACTACAAATGGAGATTGCCAGGGAAAAAATCTTGTTCAGCGAGATGGTATGTAGCATTCTGAAACAGTTTGGCCCTGCCTAATCCAGATCTCCTGGTACTGCAGAAGTCATTGTAAAACCTAGCTTCCACTATAATTAGGACAAGGATGCCACTTGTAAGACAATGGTGGGATCAACACTGCCACTATTACTTACTGAGTAATATTTCCATGATTAGTGCCAATGGGCCAGCTCTTCAAATAAGGCAAAGCACCTAATGAAGGAGGTGCAGAATTTAGCCCAGTGACTCTAGGCCATGGGAATAAATATTTGGGAGTGGAAGCTGTTCTAGAGTTAAGAAAATCCACAAGCTGAATGCTTGATCTTCAGCTTACAAGAACTGAGAATTAGTTTTGTGACGGTTAATTCCTGCAGCCAGCCGTTCATATTCATGTCACCCTGAAGATCACATTCTTCTTCAGCAATTTAGATTGTGCTTGTTTTTCCTTTACATTTTTGGAGCTGGAAGCTAAACCATTATGGGCAAAATACTGTTCACTTTTCTTGATTTCAATTTTGTGAGGAAGCTGAGCAGGACTGGATCGTATCACGTTAGGCCTGATCCACAGCCCATGCAACAATGGAAAGACTTCTATTGACTCCGTTGGGCTTTGGATCAGGGTCCTAAATACTGGAAGAAATCTGGCAGCCTGCCTCCTGTAGGTGCCTTTCAAAGTCCCAGCCTAACTGAGCTACACATGGTATTAACCAGTGAAGAGGAGCATTTGTGCTGCTTAGTAAGAGCTGTCCATCACACGCCTCAAGGACCCAACCTTGGGAGTCGTAGCTCCCCACTCAGTGAATCTCTTGTACTCGCCAGGTCTCAGGAGGTACTGCCGTCCACGGTAGTTTGGCTGCTCATAGAAAATCCAGTATCCTTCCAGAACCCGGCAAGACTGGATATCTCCATACCAAGATGCTTCAGAGAGAGAAGGACTGTCATGCATTAACTCCATCATCTTGCCTCCAAAGTCAGTCTTCTCATAGATTTGGATCTTGCCAGTGCCCCGGTACTATGAAGACAAATAGGAACACAAGCATATGGGATGTAAGTAACAGCCTGGTGATACATAAATGAATACTTACTTTTCCTCAATCAATGGGAAAAGGGGCCTGATGCCACAATGTATAATATTTGTGTCACTTGTAGAGAATCAGGCCCTTTTTCCTTAGAAGGTAAACTTGGTGTATTTCCAATGATGCCAAAAAGTAAGACTGCTATTGCATTGTGGTGAAATGAACCTCATCTTCCTTTCATCTCCATTTGGGAATCACTAGGTCAAAGCAAAAGGTAAATAAATGGCACATGGGCTGCAACAGTTGTGGTATGCCAACAAGCTTCCTAAATGTGAATGTCATCTGGGGGATGGGGTATTAGACAGGTGTATGGGAGAACTGGGCTCCAGAAAGGGTTCTGCCACTGATACTCTGTGTGCCCATGGGTAAGACATCTTAACTTTCTCTGCCTCTGTTTCCTATACACCCTTTGGCCTATCTAGCTCCTCTACCGTGTTTCAATTTGGTGTTTACAAGCATGGTTTGACCAGCAGCAGCTCTAGTGCTCAGAATATTAGATAGTTTGATGTGACCTCTTCAAAATTTGGACAGACTTCCTGAGAGTAGAGGGAGAGGCACAAGCCCAACCCCAGATGGAGAGTTTTACCTTAAAATAATTGATTAACTCATGGCAAAATTGTAAGAAACTGAAGGCTTGAAGCTGGAGATAGATGCCTAAGGGAATTGTCAAGTATGTTTAGCCACCAAAGTTTTCTAGATTTTAATAACAATTCCACTTTCCTCCTGTCTGCTTCTTTAGGTGTCCAAGCTTCTTTTGAAATCTGGCTTGTAGACTCACTCCTTTGGGTGCACGCAGAAGTGACAGTTTTCACCCTATTTGGCCACAGAGAGCAATCTATAGCCATGACCAATCACAAGTGTACAGCTGCAGGCTGCTTCAAATATAGCGGAGCAGGCAAAAATCTGAAACCTCATGGCATGAGGGCTTAGTTGAAGACTTTTCAAAATATAGCATCTTCTATAACTTCTGCACTGCCTCCCAGCCTGCAGCTATTTTAAGAATGGGAGGGAGGAAAAGGAACAGAGTGAGTTCAGTCTGGGGTCTTTTCAGCCCCCACTGGAGGAAAAGGCGGTTGTATTGGAGGCCTTTCTGAGGTGGGGTGCCTCCAATACACCCATCCCACCCTCCAGCCGCACTGGGGAAGCCCTAAAACAAACTCCGTCTGCTCCCTTTCACTCCTCCCATTCTGAAAACAGCAGTGAGGAGGGGCCTTTGCTAGGAGAAACCAGCTGCAGGCTGGCAGCCAGCAGCTAGATTCCCTTCCCCCCTGAAGCCAACAGTGAACTTCAGTTTGGTCCTGGGGAACATTTTAACTCAGAACACTTCCTGCAAAGCGTTCTCAGTTCCAGCAGGGAGCTACATTTATATCTGCACCATTTGCGTCCTCCTCCATTTTGTGCTTGTCTCTCAGTTAAAACCGTATCTGTTTGGGCAAGAACTGTGTGCAGCAGCTAGCATCAGGGAGGCCTGCATTTGGCTGAGGTCTCTGACAATGTTTCATACAAGTCAGGGCCAACCACAGCAAAACTAGTGAACTTACACATGGGATTGGAATGCAGGACCTGATGGAGTCATTGATTCCCATCCATTGTTGGTAGTCTGAGTAGCTTCCCCTCTTCAGGAAGTACTGATGGCCTGAGTAGTTGCTGCGCTCATAGATCATCCAGCAGCCACTTTCCACCCTGATGGAGTTGCAGCGGCTAAAGTGAGAGTGCATATTGGACTGATCCAAGGTAACCTCATGGGAGCGGCCCTCAAAATTTCGGCCCTCGTAGAAAATGATCTGCATAAAAATGAAAGGTAACACTAGTCAAATTAGAAAGTCTCTTCTTTAAACACTGGCTCTAGCCTTCTTGTTCACAGAAGGTCTGATCCACAACATCTGAAAAGGCTCCCACCATCTTTGCTGGATACATGTTTTCTATTTGGGTACATCACTAATGAAATCTGGCTTTTTCAGCAGTGGATGAGTGTTTGAGATAGTTGTAGACTTTCCTGCTTGGGATTCTATGCTAGTGATGTTTGGCAAGACTCAGTTTGTGAGGTGGAGCCTGGGTGCTACACTTTGGGAGTCCCAGAAGACTGGAGCCACTTTGATATGCCAGTAATTTTACGTTGGCTAGCAAAGAAACAGTCCATAAGGGCTGCTGTAAGTTGTATCTCATGAACAAACAGTTCTGCACTCCAAGGTTGCTCCTCATCACATAATGCTGAAAGCTGCTGCCACTCTTGGTGCCTGCTTTTCTTTGGGGTTTGTATACAAAAAAAGCTATGTTGGGTGATATCTGCCGCAAACTGCTCCAGGGTTTTCAGGGCTCTTTTAAAATACTGCAGCTGCATGCAGGGATCAGTCCATGATCCAGGAGGGAGCATTTCTATTATATGTAGGCCCTATGATCATTTAACCGAGCTGCAAAGCTCCCATTGAGCTCAATGGGTGGAACCAGAGTGGTAGTCCCAACCTAAGTAAAGCCTTTTTTTACACTAGTCATATTGAACAATCGAATAGCAGCAGCACCGGTTGCAAAGCAGTGTGAGGACTTTTCATCTTTTGTATGTTAAAAAAGACACAATAGGTAGAATTTTCAGATTCATCAGCATGCTGCAATTTTCCAGTAATCAAATAACAGCAGCTAATAATACCTTAATTTTAAGGAATATGTACATTTGGACTTTTTGAAAAATCACTGACAATATTAAGTAAAGTAAAAAGAAAAAAGAAAATGAAAGATGTTTTACATATAAAATGTACTTGACAATATACACTAATTTTTGTTCTTACCTTTGCCATTTTAGCTCTTGTTTAGGTGCAAGACCTTAATGCTCTGCAAGGATGGAGTGCCCTTTTTATAGGAAACACAGTGCTGGATCCACGTGAATTGAACAAAAGACTGTTTTGCTCAGTAAGGCAAATTAACAGTTCTTTTTCCTCCACATCATCAACATTATTCTTTGTAAACTATTGTTGATGTCTTTTGTTTATTGGGTGTCAATTCTATTGTTACTGTCCAAAACTAAGGATCAGGGCAAAAAGGTCATTCACAATATTGTCATTACATCACCAAGGGTCTCATGTTCAAGGGAAAATGCTGGTATTGCTGCTAGGGGATTGTTCCAGACATTTAGTGTTAGTTTCTCATTATTCCCTGATTCCACTAGACAAAGCCCTTAAAGCTCACTTGACATCCAGAGTATACCTGAGCTGCATGAAGGGACTTCAAATGGGTGTAAAAATATGAAAGAATAAATTCCTATGATGTGCTGAGGTGATTTCATTTGGGGGATAAAGGATATGCTAGCTCTTAGCCCAGCTTTGTCCTTATGAATTGTGTGGTGCTGATATTGTACTCAGAAGGGGAGAGATCCTCCTATAATGTACAGATGACAAGCAGGTAAGCAGAGAGACACCTTCCTATGTCCGAATGACACTGGACATCGGGTGTTCTGCTTGTTTGGTTGCCCTGTGGATACGGCTGCCCCTTGGAAGTTTACATTCTGGGCCTTTAGGTATCCCAGATTTCATTGCCCCCTGCTCTTCACAAACACATGCACACTTGCAATCAGTTGCTTTAGTATGCAGCCAGAACTCTACTCTCGTCTTTTTTCCTTTGTTTGTCACTCTTTACCAGCACTGTTCAATAAAAGCTACCTTTCTAATAACCAGCTGTGTCCTTTCTTCCTACTTGACCATGCCTCTTCATCATGACCCCCCACAGCCCTTGGGAACCCAAAGCACAGGTCAAGCCTCCCTTCCTCACCAGCCCTCCAGCCTGCCCACATCAGGTAAGCACACTGCAGACTTTGGTCAGTTGCAGATCAAAGTTTACCAAACCCATGGTTAGGAGACAAGGGAAAGCAGAAAAGTTAAAATTCCCCCAGCCACAGGTCACTCCTCCCCTAGAATCCCAAAGCATGGGTGCAAGCACTCACCCTGATTCACCTGCTGTGAGGCTGGGTGCTTGGGATACCCACCTACATTCATGCTTTTTGCTGTCTGTTCATTTAGACCAGGGGTGGGCAATTATTTTGAGTGGAGGGCCGTTTACCCAGTTTTGGCAGGATGTCGAGGGCCATGTGGGTAGCCCCGCCCCTTGACAGGTGCCCCGCCCCCTGCTCACCATCTTGGGACCAATGTCCCAATGTCTTGGGCACTGGTGAGGCCCAAAGTGGGGCGCAGACTGGCAGGGGTCCATGTAGTTGGGCTGGGCTGCACCAGCAGGGAGAGGGAAGTTGGCCCAACTCCATAGAGCCCCTGCCAGCTGGAGCCCTGCTCTCCTGCCGCCCTGCTCTGGGCCCCACTGGCACTGGCCCGGGGACACCGGTGCGGGCCCTGTGCTCCCACTGGCTCCCCGCCCACTCACTCCCAGTGCCCCCCAGCTCCACAGTACAGGCGGGGGGCAGTGCACAGCCCTGATCCCCTGCTCACCAGCAGGGAAGAAGCTGGTGCTGAGCATGGGGAAAAGTGGCCCCTTGCCTGCCCAATGGCCAGTGCCCCACGTTGCAGGTGCTCGCAGCCCATGTTGGGCTGTCTAGAGCAGGCACAGGCAACCTCATGCGGGCTGCAGGTGGCTGCAGTGTGGAGCGCTGGCCATGGGGCGGGTGAGGGGCCATTTTTCTCCATGCAGAGAAGGAGCCCAGGGAAAAGCTGAGCGCAGGGGGGAAGCAGCCCCTCCCCCACCCCACACCCGGTGCCCCATGCTCCAGGCACTCACAGCCCGCATGGGGCTGTCCGGAGCGGGCACAGGTAGCCCCATGCGGGCTGCAAGCAGCTGCAGCATGAGGCACCCAGCATGGGCGGGGAGGGGCTGCTTCCCCCGCTCCGCGCTCCTTCCCTTTCTGGAGTCCCCCCCCCGCCTTACCTGAGCTTCCTGCGCTGGGGCAGCCACATGCTCCCAGCCCAGAAACCCTGGCTGGGGCTTCCAGCTGGGGGCCGGGGCCAGGCGCACCCCACTGTTGTTGGAGACCACCGGGCTTCCCCTGGGTCCTACTGCCCTTGGTTCCTATCATTTTTGACAGAAACCAAGGACAGAGAAATATTAATTTTCCAAATTTTTTTAGGGGCCCCGCGGGCTGGATAGAATGGCTTTGCAGGCCAAATTTGGCCCATGGGCCATATTTTGCCCATCCCTGAACTAGACACATGTAATAACTGTTGATGTCTGCAGGCCTACATGTGTTGCTTGATCATGGAGTTGGATATTTTAGGGCTGTTCAGATTTGTTGAAATTCTATTATTGATTATTGATTCTATGTTCGACTTTGACCCATTCACCTTGTCTGAACTTGATCCCTGAATGAGCAAGCATGGTCCTGAAGTTGTCCTGGTTTGTCACTGACTACACTTTTCCATTCTCAGATGCTTCTATGTACTCACATTCTTCTAGCCCCCACAAAACAAGAGAAAACAGAGATCCTTCTGTAGACACTAGATGTTGAGGCCAGGGATGATGGGTCTTTTGGGTTCTGTAAGGCTAGAAACTTCTGCAGAAGATCTATGGTATTTGACAGCAGTATATTGGTACATGAGACCAACTATTGATTCAGAAATTTCATAGCCTTGACAGCTGGGATAGGAGATCTGATACTGTACTGATAGCACTAGCTCCTGAATCTTGCTTTCTGGCCAAAACTTCCCTTGGGAAGTTCTGTACTCTAATTGCAGAAGATCTTCACAGAATATGTATTAAAGTAATACGATCTTTTAATTACGTAACGTGCTGAAATATTTATGTCTAGAAATGCAAAACAGGTGTGCAATTAGTGGTATGTCTGTGTCCCAGGGGTGTGAGCACAGGGGAGCAAGGAGCCCTGCACATGGGGGAATCCGGGACAGTGGCAACCCAACCTTGGAGAGAAAACCCTGAAAGGAAGAACCACTTACCTGTTTTAGGATGCCAAACACAAAATGAGCCATGCTAGGAAGCAAGACCCGCTCAGTTCATCAGCTGCACTTATCTGCAGCTGGAGCCGGCAGGGGAATGTGATGTTAGTGGGGAACGCTGTCCAGCAGGAGATATAAAAGCCAGCACCAAGATGGAACCGGGGGGAATGAGAGAGGCAGTGGAGGCTGCAAAGATCCCCTATGCTGGTTGCAGCCAGCACTGGCAGGCTAATGGAGATCTGGTGCAGGGGGAGACGCTGGAGTCAGCAGAGGCTGCGAAGACTCCCCACACCGGCTACAGACGGCACCTGGGCATAGAAGTGGAGTCGGCACAAGGGAGAGCCAAAGAGGACCTCTGCAGGGGCAAGAGCCCAGAGTCGTGCAGCAGGGCACACTGAGGCACAGGCTAGGGCTGGAGGGTAGAAGGGCTGGTTAGCCCAACGACCCCTCCCTTTTCTTTGTTGTTGTTTTTTATTCTATTTTGAACGGTGCCTTTTCTTTTCTTTTCTTTTCTTTTCTTTTCTTTTCTTCCTTATTGCTTACTTCTTCATTTTCTCTTGGCACAGGTTGTTATATAGAGTTTCTTTTTTTGTTTGTTTGTTTGTTGTTGGCTGCCCATGATCCTTCAGCGGCAAGAGATGGGCAGTATTCCTAAGAAGACATCGACGTACAGAGCCACCAAGCAACCATCAAGCCTCCAGAGAGAGGTATGCTGGAGAGTTGGGTATCCAGTCGCCCAAAGTCCAACCCAGGAGAGTAAGACTGACAGCTCAAAAAAGGTGCAAAGATCAGGAATTGAGGTAACCAGAAAGCAAGTCACATAACATCGAGAGTCTCGTCTCAAGTGCTGGCACGTAGATGGGGTGTAGGGGAGGGGGAGCCCTGCATACATCCACCAGGAGATGTGACTATTCCCAAGGGACCCTCAATGGGGGACCTCACCACTGAAGATCCATCCAAAGTTGTGGCAGGCGAGTTTTGGGGTCCTCCCCAGGGTAATTGAGGGCTCCTTCAGAAGGCGCACAAAGCCATACTGCACCCGACATCTGGCGCACGCACCAGAGCAGCACAGGAGTGGATATTCGAATCGAGGTGGGCACAGTCTACTATTCCAGTGAATGATCTGACAGTGAAACTGTGATAAATGTATTTCTGTCTAATTACCTCAACTGCTTTTTATGACCTGTTTTGCCTGAGGGGCTTTTTAAAACAATGATACAAATATTATCTCATTAAATGCTTGAGATGATGATGGGTTGTAGGTTGTAGCCGTTTTGGTCTAAGGACATAGGCAAACAAGGTTCTTTGGGTAGATGTGATATCTTTTGTTAGACCAACTAAATAGTTGGAAATAGTGTTTCTTTGCAAGCTTTGGGGCACAAATGCTTCTCTTATGGCATAGACTGTACAGATTATCCCTATGCCTGAAAAAGGGCGTTTGTACCTGAAATCTTGCAAACAACAATTTTTCCAACTATTTAATTGAACTAATAAAAGATATCACATCTACCCAAAGAACCTTGCCTGAGATTATAAACACACATTAATATCATGCTATGAATCATGATCTAAATCAGGCTTTTTTTCTTCGAATAAAGCTATAAAACTAGTTGGTACTATGAAGTTGGGCCTCTTATACTGTTTTTACTCCCATCTGCATGCCATTTTGTGAGTACCTTAGACAAAGGTATACATTTCATGACTAATTCATGAATGGTAAGTAGAATGAGGGAGGGAGGGAAATAGTGACTGAGAGAAGCTGTTGTTCTGGGACAGCCACTTCCACTATTTCCTTCCAACCACCCCTAAATCTTTAGGTTGTGATGGACTGGTTAAGACCAAAAACTATCAGATGAGATTCCCCCATTTACATTTTCTGTTGTTAATTGTCTGTCCAGCTGGTCCTGGCTGTCTCTGGACTTCTACTCCCCACGTGGTGCTGAGGATCTTTGTATCCCTGGCCTTAAGTTGCATATTCCTTCTGACCCGGATTGTTCTTGGGTGGAAAAGGTGGAAATGAGAGGGAGTCAAGCCAGTTCCCTGGGTCTTGATGATTTACTTACTGTACCCAGTGGAACACAGATTTCTGACTATGTCTTCTTAACCCCTGATTTATCCTTTCCAGAAATTATTTGCTACGCAAGGAAAATTTTATTTGTGTTTATGAGGGATCTGAATGAAAACTTTTAAGTCAGGGAGGGGCAGGCAATTATTTTGGGCAGAGGGCCGCTTACTGAGTTTTGGCAAGCCATCGAGGGCCACATGACAGGCAGCAGATTAATATTGATTTTCTAAATTTTTTAGGGGCCCCGTGGGCCGGATAGAATGGCCTGGCGGGCTGCATCTGGTCCCCGGGCTGCATTTTGCCCATTTTGCTTTAAGTGAATATTCACAAATTTTAGGATAAACTCCATCTGGACTTTGCAACTCAGAACACCCTCAACCCACCCTGGGCCAAATTCATCCCAATATAACTCATCAAGATGTACTGGAGATTTTGCTTGCTATTCTACTGCTCTGTCTCCAGTTGTGTGTGTGTGTGTGTGTGGGGGGGGGGGGGATCTTGGTTGAAAATTTCTGAAAAGGTTAAACATTCCTTATATTGCAATTGGCTCTGATGCTTGGGTATTTGATGAAACAGTAGATTAAAGTTTTCAGCCAAGCTTCATTGTACAGCAAGGCAGATAATTCCAAAAAATGGTACTAATGCCCAATCCTCGTAAAAGGCTTTCTTAGACTCAGACTCATGGAGCTGCAAGGGGATACTGTTGTGTATTGTCCCCAAAGTAAGTAGTGTGCACTTGGTTATAATTGTGGAGAGCCCAAAGAAAGAAGCATCTACTCATTGGGGTCAGGTGGGAGGTCCTGTGGGGATGTCCACATGGAAAAATGAAGGTGCAATTGCCACATGGGTTGGCTTGCAGAGGTAGTCATGGGAAGAAAGCAAACATAGCAGGGTTCTTGGAAAGCTTATAGAAGAAGGCTTGGCCACCCTCTCTTCACTGCTACTATTACCATGCCCATACCAATTTATTGCTAGTACAGGTCTGCCTGCCTGTGATACAACCACATCTTTGGTCTGCTGCATAGACATACTCCATGAGTGGGCAACCTGGAGCACATTCTTCCTACACTTGTTCAGGACAATGGGACATACATGTTTTGTAAACAAATCATATTAAAAAGATACTGTGACCTCATATATCACTGATTTCTTCCTACAGTGGAATATACAATATAGGGTTGGCAAGCCAGTAAATTGACAGGTCAGATATTGTCAACTGACTGGTCAATTGCCTGCATATTTGACTGGTCAATTTAATGGAAAAAAACCCTATAATTTTTGTAGCTTTTTTGACAGAAATATGATTTTTGGTTTTGTTTTTTGACATACTTCTTAAAAGAAAATGTGTCCGTTTCCTGTGTATTAGGACCTATTGGCAATTTTTTACAATTTTGGACTGATATTTGACCAGTCAAATACCCAACCCTAATACCATACAAGGCCCCACATTCACGATTTTATTTAATAATTGAAATATCTGTGACTCTTCACACTTGCTCCAATGTGTATCTGTTAAGCAAAGAAGGAATAGCAGTGCTCTGTGATTGCTCCCTAAACAGTAGTTTTCAGCTGAGCAGGTTTGTGAATGTTGCCACATGAGGCACCAGTCATCATGTCTGATAGCACATCAGGACTCCCAGCCTTCAGAGAGCCAGTTGGAGGAGAGTAAAGATATGTTGCAGAGATGAAGAGTGTGGCTGGTGAGTGGCCATGTAGCTATCAGTATGTTTTTGAGCTAAGCTATTTATCCCTAAGCTTATTCCCTAAGTTTATTCCCTAAGCTATTTATCCCTTTCCAGATGACAGCTCAAGGGTTCAGCCCAGGAAGACTCTCTGTAATCATTCTAGTAGCTCTAAGATGTGTTGTCTACTTCCTGTCAGCTCTGACAACATATGTAGTGTTGGGTTGGGCTGGTAACTGAGTAAGAGACCACCAACAAGCCTCTTGTTGCTTTCAGAGGTGCTGTTCCTGAAATAGTGAGTACCCTCCTGTTAGTACCATGCCAGGGCCTCACTCAATGAATCCCCTTGGGCAGGAATGTCAAGCCTAAATGAGTTTGTGGGCCACTTCTGGACCATGGGGCATCCTGCAGGCTGGACAACCTACATCTAGATCCAGGCCATGGGTCTTGTTGCCTCAGCTGCCAGAGCCACTGGTCTGGCACCAGCAGCCAAGGAAGTAATGCCACTGGCACTCTTCCCCAGTCAATACAGCTGTTACAGCCAAATGGTTAATAATGCCACTGCTCAACGTCCATCACCAACTGTTGCCTGTGTTATTCACTAGTGATGAATGAAAACATGTTCAATGGTAGCGCTCACCCCATGTGCTGGCTGCACTGATGAAGCCACATCAACAGGGGGTGAAGCAGCAGTGGTGTTAACTCCATTGCTGCTGGTAGCTACAGCCAGAAGCCACATGTGCCAGGTGACCCAATTCCACAGGCCAGATCTAACCCGGGCCCTATGTTTGACTTCCCCTGACCCAAGTATTTTGCAACTGCTAATGACTGTATGTGGTGAGTGCTCAATCATGATGATGGACAGCATTGTAAAACTAATATAACTAGAGGGAAAAGATTTCATGGGATTGTGCAGGCATGTAGCGTAGCCATTTCACAGCCTTTTTGAAAGGCAGTATGAATCCATGCTTGTACAACAATTCAAGTTCCCCAGCACTATGAAAGTGTAAAGTCTGACACTGTTTTTCAGTCAGATCTGTGTGTTCTTAAGCACAGCCCCAATCATTTTAATGAGACTCCAGGTGGGAACAAAGATGTACAAGTGTAGGTTTGTCACAGGATTATTTTTGTGTTTTTAGGATCAATGATTATTTCCCTTGAGAAATGAAGGAGGACAACAGGTAAGCTCAAGAGAAGATTTATTCTAGGACACCATACCAATCACACTACAAATGCAGCTTGCCAGGACAACAATGGGATGAATTTTGGTATCTTTGCTCACTGGGTAGTAATTCCATGAGTAGTACTAATGGGCCAACTCCTCAGACAGGGTACAGCTTCTAGTGAGTAGAGGGATAGAGCATAGACTCTATACTATAGGAATAAACACTCATCCAAGGGAGCTCTTTTTGGATTAAGGAAATTCAGAAGCTAAATGTTTGCTTCTCTTCCTATAAGAATAGATTTTTTTTTTCTGAGTGCCAAATCATGCAGCAGTTTATATTCATTTCACTCTGTAGATCAAGTTCCACTTCAGCAATTTAGAATTAATGGTGTTTTCCTAGTTCTTTCATAGCTGTGGCCTAAGGAATTATGGACACAATCCTGCTCACATCCTTTGATTTCAGTTGAACTTCTTCTGGGAGGAAGGTGAGCAGAACTGGATCATATCACATTAGTGCCTGATTCATAGCCAACCAGAAATGGAATGACTTCTATTGACTCTAGTGGGCTTTGGATCGGGACTCTAAACATTGAAGGAAATCTGGTAGATTTACTCCTTAGGCACCTTTCAAAATCCCAGCCTAACTGCACACATTTATTTAACCAATGAAGAGAAGCATTCACAGCCTGAGAAAACGTGCTGCTTAGTAAGTGTCCACCACACGCCTCAAAGACCCAACTCTTGAGGTCATGGCTCCCCATTCAGTGAATCTTCTGTATTCGCCGGGCCTCAGGAGGTACTGCCGTCCTCTGTAGTTTGGCTGTTCATAGAAAATCCAGCTTCCTTCAATTACTTGGCAAGACTGGATATCTCCATGACGAAATTCCTCAGAGACAGAAGAGCAGTCACGCATTAACTCCGTCATCCTGCCTCCAAAGTCAGTTTTCTCATAGATTTGGATCTTGCTGATGCCTCTGGGCTGTGATGACAAATACAAACACAAGTATACAGGATGTGAGTAGTAGCTCTATCCATAGGTCATTTGCTGCTTTTCTGCTGTTAATGATACATAAATGAATTGTCACTTTGCCTCTC